GAAACGTCAGCCTTCCTGCTCCTCTGATGCTGCTTGGCCTGCTGTGTTCATCCAGCTCTACACCTTGTTAGCTCAGATTCTCTAGCATCTGCAGTTCCTACTATCTTTGAATCCCTTCGATCAGGTTAAGGCTCTTCCACAGTACTAGAGTTGCTGTTATTGAATTCTCACATACTCCTGTGCTCACTAACTAATAATGGTAGTACTTTGAATGTAAGGACAATATTACAATTGCCATCATCTTTTGCAAATTCCTACGTGGCCTTAACCTTCTTATCTCTGTAATCTCTCCCAGTCTCTCAACTTTGCAAGCTATCATTTCTTTTCCTATTCTGGCCTTCCTCGGCATCCTCGATTTTAGTCGCTTCTCTATTTATGGCTATGTTTTTAGCTGCTTGAGTTGCGAGCTCTGGAATTCACACACTGGGAGCCAATGTGGGTCAGCAAGGAAAAGATCATGGGTGCATTGGACTTATTGCCAGCAGGAATACATCAGAGTTTGGATGATTTCAAGTTTCTGAGATACAAGATCAGACCTGCTATGAGGGACTTCTAGAACTGCCAAGTTGGAGGTCCAGTTCCTGAATCTAGAATATATTGGAACTTGATGGCTAGTACGTTGTACAATCATCTTCCCTGTTTCCTTTAATAGCCAGGCTTGAAAACCATCTGGTCCTGGAAATTTGTTCAATATATTCTCCATTAAGTTCTTAAAATGCTACATCTTAATATTGGTGAAACTACCTTAGTTCTACCAGATCATAGGACTGCACTCTCATTGGAGACATGACTGGAGGTAAGTTTAATGTGAGGCTCATCAGTGTTCAGGAGAGTCCTTTATGGTGACTTCAATTGGTGCAGGATTGGACTCACACTGTCGGCATCACTTTGCATTACAAACCAGCCATCCAACTAACGTGCGATAACTGACAGGCCATTTGGATAAGTTTAAGATGATCAGACCTCACTGACATGGTTTTGTCTTAAACTTCCTACTCTTAAGTTAATTCTAGATTCCTATGTAATGTTGACATTTTGTCCTTTTCCTCTATTATGAAGATGGTTTGGAAGAACTAATTTATCAAGTCTGTCATTTCCTTATTATGTGATTATGCTTTCAGTTGCATATTTCTTTAACTGATCCATGTTCTCCTTCACCAATCTCTTGATTAGTTTATAAAGCATTTACTTGCTTTGATATTCTTTACATTTTTTTGCATGTCCTCTACTTTAGGTCTTGTTACTTTGTGTTTCTTTTTATTGCTTTTTCTATCTCTCAGTGCACTGGATTTTAGCTTCTTGCATTTGTATAACAATCTTCTTTTAGCTTGAACTTTTCTTCAACCTCACTTGATGACTATGAGTATTACTATACTAGTGGAACCATTCCCTTTTTTGGGTGCGGACTGATTTTGCATTGTACCCAACAATTCTTTGAATGCTTCGCACTATTGATGAATTCATCTTAGTTTACTGCAGTTAGTTCATTTCCCCTTCTATTGATGTTTCTTATTTAAATGTGAGACCCTGATTTTTGAGTCTTCCTCTTAAGCCTGATATTATATTCAGTCATATGATTCCTGTTAGCCATATTTTACCTGCATTTACCTCCCTTTGAACCATGACCTGCTTAATGGCCATTAACCCACAAGCTGCTCTCTGCAGTCTCACCCACGTGCTGTATTGTCTTCTATGCATTGCTCTTTATTTAATACAGCATAAAAATATATGTCCTCAGATTGAGGCATATCTTCAATGAACAGTTCTGTGTGAAACATCCTCACAAGGGCTAGGGACCAATGGCTATCATAGTACAACAATGTTCCCTCACCATCTCGTTCAAAGACCCATGCTCATGCCTGGAGACATGAGTGCAGATTCTACTAGAGCAGCAGGGGAAATTCAAATTCAGTTAATTTGGAATTAAATACTAGTCTTCCTCATGGTGTTATAAAAGTACCAAGTTATCATAAAAACCCAATTGGTCACTAATGTCCTTCAGCAAAGGAAATCTGCCATCCCTATCCGGTTTGACCTAAAAGCAATTCTGGAACCAAAGCAAACTGTTTGACTCTTAGCTGCCCTCTCAAATGGCCTTGCAAGCCAGTTAATTGCATCAAACGATTGTATGCTGGTGCCCAACTCCTACCACTTAAGTTTGAATCATCCATAACCACACTAATGCACTTCCTCACAAGGAGATGTATCTCAGTCTTGTTGAAGTGCAACCCATGCCTTTTACATAGAAGGAGTGTGAGAGAATACTCATCACTTGCCTGAATGAATGCAGCACCAACAACACTCAAAAAAAACTTGTTACTATCCCAGTTGAGGCAGCCTCTTTAATGTGTCCTATCTACCTTCTTTAACATTCACTCCCTTTACCACTGGCAGTGTGAACCATCTACAAGCAACTCACCAAGGATCCTTCTGAATCCATGATCTGAACATCTCGAAGGAGAAGGGCAGTGTATGCATGGGAGCAAGTCCATCTGCAAATTCCCCTTCAAGTCACTTAGTTCTGACCAATCTTCAGTATGACTTGTGATAACAGCAACCATTCCTTTCTAATGACCCTGTTTGTTTAACAAAATTAAGTACCATCCATTCTCTATCCAATATTAACAATTCACTAATTAAAATTTACTCTTTCATGACCATTCGTGACTTGGACATCCGTATTAATTCTCCCTTCTCTGTTTCTGTGACCTTGCTGTTAGGGAGTTCTGAGATTTTGACTCGGTGACATTGAAGTGACAGTGATATATTTCCAAGTCAGGTTAGTGAGTAGCTTGGAGGGTAACTTGCATGGGCCTGGTGTTCATGTATCTGCCCTTGCCTTTCTAGATGGTAATGGCCATGAGTTTGGAAGCCTCTAAGGAGCTTTGGTGAGTTGCTGCAGTGCATCCTCTGTGTGTCTGTGGTGAAGGGAGTGAATGTTAAATGTGTAAGGTGTGGTACCTGTAAGTGGTGTGCTTTGACCTGGATGGTGACACGCTTCTTGAGTACTGTTGGAGGTGCACTCATCCAGGCAAGTGGAAACTATTCCATCACACTCCTGATTTGTGCCTTGTAGATGATGGACAGGCTTTGGAGCGTCAGGAGATTACATGGTGCAGGATTCCCAGCCCCTAACATGTCCTTGTAGCTCCACAGTATTTATATGGTGACTTCAGTTCTGTGTCCTGTCAATGGTAACCTTCATGATGTTGATAGTGAAGGATTCAATTAAGGTAATACTATTGATTCTCAAGGGGCAGTGGTTAGGTTATCTATTATTGGTGTTGGTCTTTGCCTGGCAGTTGTGTTGCATGAATGTTACTTGCTGTTTGTTAGCCCTAACCTGGGTATTGTCCAGGTCTTGCGGCATTGAACACACTGCTTTATTGCTGCTTAATGTTAACAAATAAGAAATAGCGCAGGGAGAGAGATTGATAATTCTGGGCATTTTCTATCAACCCAAATTATTTTGTTCATGGACTTGCTGGTGAGACCAGCATTTGTTGCCCATCCTTAATTACCCTTTAGCTGAGTGCTTTGCTGGGCTGTTTCTGAGGGCAGTTAAGAATTTGGAGTTGCATTTGGCCCGAATAGATAAGGATGGCAGATTTTCTTGGGTATGAATGATCCTAATGGGCTTTTATAACAATCAATGGTAGTTCCGTGGTCACCGTGACTGAGACTGGTTTTCAGTTCTAGAATTTTTTAATTGAATTTAAATTCCACTGGCTGACATCCTGGAATATGAACTGATGTCCTGAGAGCATTAGCCTGGGACTCTGGATCACTAGTTCAGCAAAGACCTTTACACTATTGTCTCCCTAGGGAATCAAACTAATTAAAATTATAAAATGTCTGAAAAGATTACATGCAATTATTCACTTAACCTTGATTTAAATCCTTTGTGTTGTCCAGAATCTAACCAGCAGAAAACAGGAAATGTCAGGAAGGTTTTTTTCACTAAGGAATAGTGATTCTGTGGAACGGATTATTGATACCAGGGCAGGAGGAAGAAACTTGAGACAACTTCAACGAAGAATTAGGTAGAGATCACCAGAGAAACCATATGTGAGGGAAGTTAGATGTGCAGAAGGGCTTGTGTTTTCTGAGCTTGTTAATTGATGCCGATGGCTAGCCACAGAGCTGCTGCTTATTCTAGGGATATGCTGGAATAATCCCCTCCTTCTGTTCTCTTGCTACTCTGAGATGGTACGGGAACAACAACAGTGATTCATCCTCAGACATGACCTATTCTGGCATTTCATGCAGGCACAGCCTGATGGGATTCACTCTGGGTTGGAGCTGCACTGACACTGGCAGCAGGAACTTTCTCATGTTCCAACATGCCCATTTCTGCTTGCTATCTCCCAATCACAGCCTGAAAAGATCAGGAGCTCCTGGGCTAGGGAACAGTGGGTATGAATCCACATGCTGTTGAATGTTATACCCTTGTCAAAGTTTCTGAATACTTTAGTTACTTTTGTCTGAATTGGAAACAAAAATCCGATATGATCTTGAGTGGTTGATTAAAGTGGGGAATGTAATATTGTGTTCCATCTGAGCTGTATAACAATGGTGGGTACAATGCAACTGTAAAGTGGGAAAGTTGATTATTTTCTTCCATTCCGGGATTGAGAGCCCTTTGTCTATCAACTGACTGGGATGGGTACTCCAAGAGTTATTCCCCTGCCTAGAAGTGGCTGTCCTGATTCCTGCAGCCCATGGTATTTGAATGAGTGGAATTGGCTGACTGCAGCCTCTCTGGTACATGCCTATAACCTTTAGGAAGACATCCAAACTGTTGTTCCAAGGAGAAACTGCTGGGCCTCTGTGTTATAAACAAATACTGTTGATTGCTAACAAATCAATAGCATTGGTTTGAGACACTGAATATGTTTATTCTATTGAATCACAGGCTGCCTTGCTGATTATAAAGTTGGACCTGCAGCCAGAGCTGGATATGGAGCAGGTAAGCAAACCATTGCAATTATTGGATTGAAAGAGAAGAGCAACAAAATCCACAAATCCCAGTCACTGCTAGTAATGAATCTTCAGTAATGGGAGATTTGACTTCACTAAAAGTCCAGATGGTGTCATAGCTTTGTTGGCATTAGGACTTCTGGAAGAATGAGCTAGAGTGTTCTGAAGAACTGGAAGGGAGGGCAAAGTTGCTGTTCAGCTTGGTATTCACAATGCTTTTTCAGTGTTTAGTCACATTCCTAGATCAATGTTCTGTTATGCTTTAAATGACATGAACCAAGGGACAATGGGTTTAAGGTACAGTCCTCTTATTCCTGACACTGGAAGTTGACTTCAGCTTGGATTGTTTGATCAGGCCACCTCTTCCTGTCCACGCCTCTCTAAACCCATTTACTGCTTCTAATTTCTCACTCTGCTTATCCGCATCTGGCACTGGATAAACTGAAATTTCTTACAGTTAAATGCAGTAAAATAGTGAGAAGTCAAATTGCAGGGGGCCTGCTCAGAAATTCATGTCAATTGGAGCTTCGAGATAGCCGAGGAAGCCCATATGTAACTCAGTTTGCCTACAAATGCAATGTAAGTCAAAAACAAATGAAAATGTAGTGATGCTGTAAATTTGTCTATGGCCTGACCTTGTACATTAAAAGCTATTGAAAAACATTAGGAGATAGATGTAGGAAAACTCAACAATTGTTTTCTGCTTCGCTTGCTGTCATGGAATGAGTGTGATGCAGTGTGCTATGTTGTCAGTGCAATCAAACAACTTATCTGTATTTCTGTGTTTCATTGCAAAATCCGGGAGCATCTTACACTCTCTAACTTCAGCTGGGGAAACAGGCAGGTGAGAGGGTGGGCATTCATTGGACTCTTCAGGGTCATTGGGCTCATTGGTTAAAGACCATGCCTCATCTGTGCTTGCTGCATCCTTAGTTCGTTGTGCAGCATACGATGCTGTCCACCTTAGTTTCGCCTGTTGTCTCTGTTGGAATTTCCATGCTGGCCTCCTGCAGGTGAGTGAAAAGAGCCTCATGGTTATATCTTGCCTTGGTCCCTGTCATTATTGGTGTCTTGCATGGCCCTAGCCTGTTTGAACCCAGTGCAGTTTGAAGTAGTTGACAATTGTGGCTTCCATCATCATTACCCAGCCCCCTTTATCATGAACATTTGAATTGTACTCCTTCTTATCGATGGCCTTGATAAACAGGGAGATTAACTGCTGTTAGTTATTAAGTTGCTAATCAGCTCCTGATATGTTGGCTGGAGTTTGGCCCTTTTCACCTACACTGCATTTTGTCTGTAATCACTGCACTTTTGATTTCTCAGTTTTAGCCATACTTGGAGGGTTTGATTGAGCTTTCTTGACATCTTGACATCAAGATCTTGACATCAAATGATGGCTTGCCTGTCAAGTGTGACCTAACTCTGTTCTGATTGCTTGGTGAGGTCATATTTCAAGATTGCGTGGGTTTAGCCAAGCCAGAGTTACTGTTGTAGAATGTCAGATGATCATGGGCATTGTTCAGTTGAACTTCCTATTCTGTCATCCTATTGCTGAGCAGTGTGCAGTGTTCTCACAGACCATTGGTGTCAGGAGCTACCTCCTGAGAGGGATAGCATACATCATTCAGAATTCACCCCAGAACTTTGCAGGGGCATCAAGAAGCTGCAGCCACCAGAAGTTTCTGAGTCGTGAGAATGCACTGAAAAATGTACTTGACTGATCGGGGAGTGAAACGCCTTCTATTTGACAGATGTTGCCAGGGAGCTCTAATGGCCAAATATATGCAGTCAATTACAGTTCTTTTAATCAATCTGTTTTAATATGTTATGATACACCTCTGGGGTAAGTGAGACTTGAACCAGGACCTTCAGGATAAGAGGTAGGATGGTATCAATGTTCACAGACCCTGTTTCTCTGACCTGGTTAGAATTCATTGGTCCTTCTGAAGAGGGAATTGGTCATGTCACACATACAGCTATGTGTTGCAGCCTGGGAAATACCACACTTGCCTTCATGGAGCCTTGAAATCGGGCTGTGGCATAGATGTTTGAAAGTGCCATTACTTTGAGAGTGACTGGCATGGGGTTCCTCCCAAAGTCTTTTGGCATCAGGTCTTGTTGTCAGAGTTCAGACAAAATAATAACCTGTTCCTAAAAAAGTCAGAACAGTCTCTGGCTTTGCCTGTTGAAGATTTGGTGGCAGTTAGTACACAGACTGAAGGTGCACTAATACATTGTTGCTCTCTAGTAGTGAAGACGGCCATAATCAGGTTCCCCCGTACTCCCTCTCCCTTGGCTAGAGCCAGCTGATGGCTTTGTGGTTTATGTTGTGATATGACCAAGATCCTGCACAGGTAAATCCTCTCCTGCATGACCTGAAGTTGGAAAAAGGTTGGGTATATGAGACCCATTGCGGGTCCATAAAGCAAATGGTGTGAGGAAGCAGCGATTTAAGCTGCTCTTGGTTATGCAGCTTCTGTTCCTACGCCAGTTGCAGCCAACCAATGGGAATGTATCGGCCACACCCAGAACTCCTTACAACTGACAGTGCCCCCTTTCACAACAACCTGCTCTCCTGTGAGGTAAAAGCCACCGAGCAACACCTGACCTCCAACTAAATAGCAGTTTCTTACTAGCCCCGTTGGTAGATATCAATACTGGAGACCATTCACCTCTATGTCACTCTTGAGCTTTTTTCCAGTTGTCTTGACCCTCTCAACAATACCCTGTACTTTCCCCTCATCATCCTGCTGCATCCTTGACTTAAGAGCCAGTGATTCTCAATCTGACATCTCTGATCTTTTAACCAGTTTGTCGTCATACTGGAACCCTCCCATTCCCCACTCCATCATCCTTCACCTGCCTTTGCTTTCCCATGGCCCTCCCTAGGAGAGGATTGAGCTTCTCTCCTGCAATGATCTGCTCTAATTTCATGGATCCTCTTCTGTAACTGTTCTTGTGCCATGTATGGTGCAGTTGCCTCACCTGGACCCTGTTACAATGAGTTTGGAGGGGAACAGATTCCTTCTCCTGTCCCACTTAATTAATTGCAACAAATTTTGAAATGTAAAGAAAGGCGATATTGCCTTGTATCCAGAGCTGTCCCAAGGGAAGGGCTTATTAGACTAATTGAGCCGCATGCTGGGACCAAAGGCACCTGGAAAACAAATGCAAGGGTGATTTCAATTTTCTGCATGATGTGAAGAAACTCGGTGAAATGACAGGTGATCTAAGAAAGCAATGGAGAAACAGAAAGTGCTGGAGAAACAGAAAGTGCTGCAGAAACTCAGCAAATCTGGCAGTATCTGTGGAGAAACAGAGTTGATGTTTCAAATCTGAAATGGCTTTCTTATGAACTATTTTCTCTAGTTAATAAAGGAAAATGTTGGTAGATCCCAGAGACTCCTTTGAGAGCTCTTGGCTTGCAGCAATGAAGACTTCTCCTGTAGAAACCCTTCACTTGTGGTAATAAGATATTCCATTGGGTTTGTAACTCTCAAACTTTGATGACATTGATTCCAGAAGAAGGAGAAGGGAAAAGTCTGTTGCTCCAGGCAAGATCTCTGACTCTGTCATCTTTGATATCTTTACTGAAACTAGGTACATGTCACTTCCCTGTAGGTTTTGTAGATTGTGACTCCAGTCAAGCAACTTGCATTCTTTGCAAATGCACCATTTTCCCCTGCTACAAATAGTTTCCTTTGGTTTGCTGTGCTCTTTCTTTAAAAATAAATCCAAGATAGATTTATAGCCAGTTAGGGGCCCGGATCCAGACACTGGATCCATCTGGCAAGTAGCCCTCACCCAACTGCCAACCTGCCACCAAGGGCAAAACTCACTGTCACCCTATTCCCTCACCCAGCTATCATACTATTACCTACCTGCCATACTACCCTCTCACCCACCTGGCACTACACTCCCACCCCAACTCGCCCATTATTTCCCTCCCACATGGCACCTTTTCACTCATCTACCTGGAAGCCTACCTTCACCCACCAGGCACCCTGCCCTGTCTCCCCCTCTGCCCTCTCCTGGCACCCTATCCCCCTCCTCCTTCTGGCAATCTGACCTCCACTCCTCTTCTGACACCCTGTGATTCCCCTCCTCATCCTGGAACCCTGTGTTTCCCCTCCTCATCCTGGA